ATTCTAGCTCTCACATTAGACACCTCAAAACCAGCTGTAACTCCAGCTCCGAGGATGTGGCACCTCTAGCTGCCAGACCTCTACTCATATGTGGCATGTGCACACACATGTGGCACACGTACACACACACATGGCATGTACACACATACATGATATGCACACACACACGATTTAAAGATATGGTTTTTTTGTTTGTTTGTTTGTTTTTGTTTCTTGAGACAGGATTTCTCTGTGTAGCTTTGGAGCCTGTCCTGGAACTCTCTTTGTAGACCAGGTTGGCCTCGAACTCACAGCGATCCTCTGCCTCCCAAGTGCTGGGATTAAAGTCATGTGCCACCACTGCCCGGTAAAATAAATGATATTGAAAAAAATTAAATAAAGGAGGCAGGAGAAATGGCTCAGTGGTTAAGAGCACTGGTTGCTCTTCCAGAGGACCCAGGTTTAATTCCCAGGACCCACATGGCAGCTCACAATTGTCTGTAACTCTAGTCGTAGGGGATCTGACACTCTCACAGAGACATACATGCAAGCAAAACACCAAAAAAAATTTTTTTTAATAAAAATATAAAACTCCTCTAGAGATGCTCTTCAGAGGAGCCCCTAAGGAGCTGCCAGTCCTGAGTGAGCATGGAGGGAAATCTAAGCAAACACAGGCAGAGGAGTCCCAGAATGCTCCATTTTCCTGCAGACTGTGGACCCGCAAACAAAGCCAGGATTTGAGGCTGGCAAGGACTTCACCCAACAATGCCCTTGAGCTCTGTGTCACACTGAGGAAGAGCTCAGTGCCAAGGGAACCCTGTACTTGCCAGGCCTCTGGGCTGGAGGAGGGAGGTAAGAAAAGAGCCCTAGTCTTAGCCCCATGCACACCTACACACACACACACACACACACTCATGCACACACTTTTGAACTTTCCAGCACAAATCCACACTATTGCAGTCTCCTCCACCCCACAACAGGAAGGGCAGGAGGGGTAAGCTGCCTGATGACCGGCCCGACTGCCATGGCATGGCCTTACCATCTTTGTTCCCTCCTATCCCTGTCCTTCACTAGTCCTCCAGGACCATCTGGTCTACCTTGCAGACTTGTGGAACTGAGCTGAGTTAGAAGCTCCTGGAAAGGTAAGGAAGTCTGAAGACAGGGTTGGAGGGAGGAAGAAAAAGAACAATACATCCAAAGAGTAAGGGATGTGGAGAAGTGGGATGCTCATAGTAGTGTCTGCAATGAGGAAGATTGTGTGTGTGTGTGCGCACGTGTGTGCATGCGTGTGTATGTGTCTACATTCCTACGGGAGCAGAAGTGCCTTTGACATCCACAAGGGAAGAGCTACACAAACCCTCTACTTTCATTGTAAATGAACACCCTTGAATCTGCAGCAGGAGAAACCCAGGCAACACTTCTGGGCAGCACAGCTGGAAGCCGCAGCTCACTCCACCCCCCTTCATCTGGGAGGACCCTGAATAGCACCCTGGGAGACTTCAGACCAGTGGCTTAGCATTTCCAAGCTTCAATTTAGTTCTTAATAAGAGACTATCCTAAGAATATCAGTGCCTTTGGGGTAACTGTAAGAAATAAAATAATCCATGTGGTGTATCTAGCAAACAATCAATGCTCAATGCATCTTGGCCACAAAGTGTCTGAAGCCAGAGCAAAGGAAGCAGGCAGGTAATGGAAAGAGCCTAGGGCCTAGACCCTGCCTACTCCAGTTCATATGCAGGGTCTGAGGAAGCCCCTGAATGTTCTTGTTCCTTCCCCTCCATACTTCCATTTCCCCTGAGTTTCTTGACTCTCTACTTACCTCTTAGAGCCCCAGCTCTGTGCTATAGACTCACTTACCAATGCACTGCTCCCAATCCCCCCATGAGCCCCTCTGCTCTCAGCCTCCCCAAGCAGCAACCCCTGCCCAGCTCATAGATGGCAAAATGCAAGAATGGGGTTACTTCTATAGTCCCCTCTGTGTCCTCTGAGGCAAGCACAGCCCCTTTTGTCTTTCACCTCAATTGCACCCCACCTGTCTGGCCCTGGGCTCCTGGTGGAGTCTCATGCCTCTTGGCTCCCATCCATGGCATTCTTTCTACTTCATGCCGCTGCAGACCCTGGGCAATCATGTGCAAGAGAAGGGCTGTAGACCTCACCCTCCCGGGCTGTGGGCAACAGACCCCTAGGGTCCCTTCCCCAGAGCTCTCAACTCTGCAGGTCAGGCAGGGGCTTGCACCATGCAGTTCCCACATGTTGGCAGGGGACGCTGAGCGGTTGGTTTGGGAGTCACATCTGAGTCACGCTGGTCTCCTGCAAACTGTAACCCATGAGAGTACAGTCAGGGCTTTCCTGGAGAGGAGGGTGATCGAGGAAGCAGCCAGCAGGAGAGAGGAGGCAAAAGCAGGGCCCAGGAAGGGCACAAATGCTATCTGGAGGCAGCAAGGATAAGGCTAGACAAGCAGGTGGGGCTGGTGAATGAAAGGGCCAGCAGGAGCCTCACCCCTGCCCTCAGGCTCAGCAGCTGGCTCCATTGTGCCAGGTGTCTGCGGCACCTCTGGAGGTTCTTTGGCTATAGAGCAAAGTCCATGTCCCCCATATGCAGCTACACAATGTCCCTACCCCAGGCTGGCTTTTAAGGACCATTATGGCAACTGTCAGTGTCTCTACCTGCCTTTACCAGGTGTCTGTGAGCTGCAGCTGGAGCCAGTCCATAGGTGCTAGGGAGGGGTGCCAGGTGAGCCAGCACATGTGCTGTGGGTGTAGGTGGTTAGAAAGGAGGCCCAGCCAGGCCCCAGCCTTTGTCTATCCAGATTGCTGTCATCTTTTGGTATAATGGCCCCTGCCAGTATGTGAGTATGCTCGCTCTATCAGTCCCGGGATCTAGGGCTGGGTGTGTGCTTGTTGCCACCCGAGCCAGAGTAGTTACTATGGGTAGATAATAATAGCAATCGTAATCCCTCATAATTGGACCAGACTTTGCTGTCTGCAGGGCAGTTCCCTGCCCGTGACCTCATCTGACTTCCACAGGCACCCTGTAAGACAGACAAGGCTGGAGTCACTATCCCCAGTTTCCAGCTGAGCAAACACAAGCCTGAAGAGAGCCTGAAGTCACATCTCCCACAAGTGGCAGCCCCAGGGCTGGGGCCTGGGACTTCTGACTCCTTTTAGTGCTCTTCCTCTGCTCCATGCGGAATTATCACAATACAGAGACCACCTGCCTTGCAGGATGGGGTGCACAGTCCAACAACAGGAGTCTGCCCCATCTGTGCGGGTGTCTGAAGTATGTGAAGGGGTGTCAGCATCCATCAGAGCGTGGAGCCAGGGCAGAGGAGGCTCAGTGTCACCCAGTCTAGCAGAGACACAAAGCCAGGCCCAAGGAAAGGGGAAATTAGCTATAGCACAGCTGCCATTGCAGAATACGGGAGACTAAGAATCTGTGCACTGTTGGAGTTCAGAGCAAGAGGAATTGAGGAAGCCTGCAGGGAACTTAGACTGTCTAGTCATTTCCCATGGGGTCAGAAGGGAGAGGCTGGAGGGCTGGGGATGTCGCCCAGTAAGCAGAGTATTTGCCAGGCACACACTAGGCTGGGTTTGAACACTGCATATGCCAGCTGAAGTAGCACAAGCCTAGTCCAGCACTCAGGAGGTAGAGATGGGAGAATCAGAGTTCAAGGTCATTCTTTGCTACAATAGGGCATTTAAGGCCAGCTTTAAGGCCAGCTTGAACTGCGTAAGACCGTGTACAAAAGAGGGGGGTGGGTGAACTGAGAGGTCCCAAGAATCCAGTTCAGAGGCACAGATGATTCCTGCCTTGTCAGTACATATGTCTACACACGCATGCACACACACATACAAACACATACACACGTACGCACACACACACACAGAGCAATGTGCAGGGTTGCAGGCTGGGGCCCTGGGACTTTTTGTGTGCACACCTATCTGTATGTGTGTATATTGGGGGTGGGACCCTTGTGTACATCAAGACTATGGGTGGCTATGGTAAGGTAAGATCCAGGAGTCAAGAGACCAGATCCCCATTTGGGCTTACCAGAAGCTCAGCAACCCCTTCTGTAAATCAGGGCCACCTGTCTTACCTCACATGCCTCAAGGGTTGTCACCAGGACAAAGGAACGATGATGGAACACACCAAGAACACAGAAACACACATGCACATTAAGGATGAACGAAGCAGGAAGGAGCCAAGTACAGGTGAAGAGGACTCCCAGCTGCTGCCCTTGCTCAGGGGCTCAGGGGCCCCACACCTGAGCCGTGGCCAGCTCTTGTCAGAAGAACAAACCTCACACCTCTCCCAGAGGCTCAGAACGGCAGGACAGTAAAGTGCAGATACTGACCGAAGAGGCACAGAAGAGGGTTGGAGCTTCCGGCCCCAGGTCCAAGGTAACTTTTGTGGTCCCTTCAGGGGTTCCCACCCATCTGATGAAATCCCTTTACTGACCCAACCGGGAGCTTAGTAAAATGTCACCTCTCATGGGACTCTGAAAACACAGAAGTCACTGGTTCCATGGCCTAGAGCCACATCAAGGACTACCCAGCGATACTCGCTTTGGAGCCTGGGTAGGTGGTGACATCATTATCTCCAAAGGTTGATGATGCCACTTGGTCCTGAACATCTGCACACAGCCACGTGCGTGAATGTCTGTGTGGGCTGATCACCTCATGTCTACAGTGCCCCAGAAAGCTACTGAATACAACGGGGAAACAGGCAGATCCAACACAGAGGTGCAGTGGCTTACCTGACATTATACAGGGCAGATCCAAAAAGAAATCCAGGTTTTTGGGATTCCCCTACATGGACAACCCCTCGATGAGGCACTGCCGCTGAGAGCTTGAGTCTGTGCTCAAAGACCAGTGATAACAATGGTCCTAGAACCAGGACTACCTGGGTTAAGAGCCCCGTCTCACCTCAGAATTTAACCTCTCATAATGTGGGGACAGGCTCTTCTCCCTCCCTGGACACCAGCCACAGGGTCCCCCAAAGAGCCAAGTGGGCTGCTCACCTTTCTATCATCCTCCCGCTCCAGAGAGGAGCTGCTGGTGTCCCCGGGGCCGCTGGAGGGCATTGCTGGCAGCTGGGCAGTAGGAGGCAGGCTGGGGCTTCGAGGGTTCTGTGGAGCTGCTGGGCTTCAGAGATGGAGTTTTTGTGGTCTTTGTAAGCAAGAGCTAAAACTTAAGCATAGATCCTGATGTCAAGCCCCTAGGAGAGTTGCTGCCTCTGCGCTGGCCTTCAGGTGGCTCTGCCTGTGGAGAACAGAAGCTCATCAGCAGGGAACAGTCGGGTCCTTCCCAGGACTCCAGCCCAGGGCCAGCCGGGCCTCTGACCTCTCTTCTCTCGCCCCAGCGTGAGAAACTGAGGCAGACTCCACCTCTTCTGAGGGCCTGGAGACTATGACAATCCCTTTCAGAAACTCAAAGGTGTAATGTGTGCCACTTCTGGGACTTCCAGAAACCTCCCGCTCCTCCCTTCTCTGCTTTTCTTCCCCCCTGAACATTTCCGCAACCCTCCCTCCCACCCCAGCCAGTCCCTGGGAAACCCCAGTCACCAGAGGCCCCTAGCCCAGCTACATTTTCCTTCTAATCTGTCCTCACCCGACCCCCCCACCCCCACACTGCTCCTCGAGTGGAGGAGGAAGTGAGCAACAGCCACAGGATGTAGTGAAATGAATGTCACTTTGCTCAGCCTGCCCGGGACCAGCACCCCACTAACAAAGCTGAGGTCCTAGCCCAGGCTGTGCTGGGATACAGGTTTGCTGGACTCGCCATAGCCTCACTGAAAGGCAGGCGAGTGCTCTCTGCAAGCCCCTCTAGTGGCCCCATTTGCCTCAGAACTGGTGGGCCTGAGAACACTCAGCTGTATTTTAGGGGCTTTTCTTCCTCCTCCAGGTGTGGGCCGCAAGCCAGTGAAATAACAAAGCCTGAGCCTCAGGCCACAGCTCAGGGTGGGTGTGTTACTGCGACAAATCAACCCCTTCACTCCGAGACACACGCGGCGGTTCCTGCTTCCCCCACCTAAGAGACAGCGCCAAGCCCCTGCCTTGAGTGTGTGCCTGCCCGGGAGGGGATTGGCAGCAGTGGGAGAGTAGGAGGTAGGCTGGATCGGAGCCCACCCACACCCTTCCCCTTCCAGTTCCCTGTTCTGCTTCCCAGCTCCCCTCCCTGTTGGGCTTTTCCTCCCAGCCCCCTCTGCTAGGGCTCCCTGGAAAACCAGGAGCGGGAGACCGCCCAGGCTTGTGTTTCCCAAGGGACTTGTTTCTTCCCTAAGGATGTGACCACTTGGGAGGTGGGTGCCCCAATTTGGGCTCTGCACTGGCAGTGGTGGGAGGAAGTTGGAGCGGGATGGGGCTATTTCAGAGCCAGGAGAGAAAAGGCCTCAGAGGTTAAAAACCAAGAAGAGGCTATGTCCAACAACGGCACCCTAGCTAGGCAGGCTCCAGGGAGGCGGCATCTTATCCCGACAGCACTAAGCTTGGCTAGGTACTGGGTTCTGTGAAGGTTGGCTGCCCAAATACCTGAGAGAGTGGCTGGCAATGAAGAGAGTGGCTGCACACCGTGACACCACACCTCACTCGGAAAACTCCAAACACTTTCTTAGTTTACTGTTAAAGCTAAGGCTCAAACAGTTGGGTTATGTCTGAGGTGCAAGCCAGATCTCATGACTGAACCCTGAGGGACTGAGTGCTCTTGGAAGCTAAGTCCCCCCCTTATCCCCAAGCCTACAGAAAATGCTCTCCACAGCAATAAAAGGAAAACAGATCCCACCCTGTACTCCAAGAGGTTTTCCTGCTGCCATTGGTCAATGAGTCCTCCCCCAAATCCTAGCTTGCCCTTGTGATCACAGTCCCTTCCATTCACACACATCAAAGCCTTGAGAAGTGGCTGATAGTACCGAGGAGGTCAGTGGGAAAGAATGTTGGCCCCAGAGCCAGCAGATAAGGTCCTGACTGGGTTAGCTGAGTCCTAGGATGTCACCTGGTTCCCACCTGCCCGGCTATTGGGGCCTCACGGGCAACAGGAGAAGAGCTGCCAGCAGAATAGAGAGGTACCTTCAAGTGCCCCACAAAGGACACAGCCGAGGCACAAAGCAAGCAATGGGAATTAGTCTGAGCCATGGTCCAGAGAGAACCTGAACTCGGGTTCTGGGAGAGGAGTCCCTGACCAGAGGGGGGAAGGGAGGGGGTGGGCAGGAAAGGCAGAACAGCAGAGGGCACCAGCCACAAGGGCAGTCACGCAGGAAAGGGAAAGGAAGGAAATGCTCTCGGGCCACCCACATCCCTGACAAGCGAGCTTCAAGAAAGGTCATCACAGAAAACGGTGGTCCTGGGTCACACCTCGGTCCCTTCGTGTTTCTCTGGAGATCTCAAAATCCCTCAGCATTATCTGAACTTCTGAAATCATTAGCATGGGACCAGGCAAGACCCCACTTAGCGGCCAAGGTGCAAGCCTGCACACAGCACTGCCCACCTGCTCCCGAGAGCCACGTTCTTCTCTTAAGTTACCCTGGCTACAGGGGCCGCGAACTCCTGGGCCATCGTCCCAAGCTAGTAGCAGGCACAGAGCCTGCCTCAGTCTCTGGCAGTCCCCAGCACCTCCAGCGTCCTCCTCATTCAGGCCAAGGCTCCCCAACAGGAATCCTCACTATGAGCTCAGCCATCACCACCAGCAACTTTTCTCTTCCCCTCAATAATTCTTCACGTCCATAGAGACCCTGAAGAATGTGTGTGTAACACCACCATGAAAGTGTTCATCCTTAGGGCTGGAGAGACTGATCAGTTAGTGTACTCGCTGCTCTTCCAGAGGACCCTGGTTCCCAGCACCCACACTAGGTACCTCAAAACAGCCTCTTCTGGCCTCTGCAGGCACTGGTGTGCACACATGCACACACAAATAAGTCTGTCTTTAGCAGGGAAACGCTCATCCTTGAACTCCTGATCCTTCTGCCTCCACCTTCCACGTGCTGGGATTTATCAGTCTGTCTACCACGGCTGATTGGTCCCTTGTGGCACATGCCAAGAACCCCACTAACTGAACTGTCTGGACAGAAGCTTTCCTTGTTGCCATTTTGTTTTCTGAGAGGGTCTAACATAGCTCAGGCTGCCCACAAGCTTTTTACACAGCTGAGAATTTGAGCTTCTGATCCTCCTGCCTCCACCACCAGGTGCTGAGATTACAGGTGTGTGCCACCATGCCTATGGAGAGCTGTAATTCCAACTAGCCTCCACATTTTACCACCTTCTTCAGCCTCCAGACAGATCTTCTCTTTTAAAGGAAGATGTGAAATGACAAGAACAGGCCGAACAGGAGAAAAGACATTACAAACAAAATTTCAAGACTGATGAGATTCTTAGGCTCGTCCTCCACTGGGCTGGAAAACAGCGGCAGCCAGGCCCAGATCTCCTCAAGAGCAAAGGCCTAAGGATGCAGCTCTTACATCAGCACCATAATGGGGCCAGGACTGCCTGTCTGTCCACCAGTGTGAGCACCACAGTGGGCATCCACCAGTGTGGATCTGAGAGCTGACAGCCTTCAGGCCAAGCTTCCAAACAACTTCTCTAGGTTAGTTGGTTGCGGTTGTCTATTTTAGCTTTTTGTTTGTTTTATTTTTGAGACAGGATCTTATTATAATGCCCAAGCTGGCCTGGACCTTTCTATATGGCCTAGGATATCCTCAAACTAAAGATTTTTCTGCTTCTACCATGTGAGCGGTGATTTCAGGCATGAACCATCACAACTGGCCAGTTCCCTGTTTATCACTTATTTATTTAGAGAAAGGGTCTCACTGTGTAGCCCTTGCTGGATTGGAACTGGCTATATAGATGAGGCTAACTTATAACTCACAGAGCCCTGTCTGCTTCTGCCTCCTGCAATCCCTGTTCTTAATCTAGAAAGGTCAACTAAAGGCCAATAGATGTTTCAGGAAAGCGTTTGACTTGGAAGACAGGGACCAGAATGAACAACATCAAACTGTGTAGTACAAAACACAAAGTTGGCAACATGAACATGGCAAAACAGAAAAGATGTCCACAAAACAAAAAGGTGATGCTACTGAAAAAGAAAAGTTAGAGAACAGAAAGAACTTCTAGGGGCTGGAGAGATGCACGGCTCAAGAGAGTCCACTGCTCTTAACTAGGACAGAGTTCAGCTGGGAAGAAGGGTGGAGTTGCTAGCCAGATGCAGAGGAAGCAGGAGATAAGCATGCCGTACTTCCAAGTGTTAGAGCGTAGGTAAGAGATATGGTTAATTTAAGTTGAAAGAGCTAGCTAGTAAGAAGCCTAAGCTATCAGCAAAGTATTTATAATTAATAACAAGTCTCTGTGTGATTATTTGCGAGCAGGCTGGTAGGACAGAAAACCCTGCCTATACAGCATTCACATCAACTGGCTTGCAACCACCTGTAACCCTAGTTTCTGGGAATGTGACACCTCTGGCTTCCTTGTATATCCACATACACAGACACACATACTTACACAGTGCTAAAAAAAAAAAATGCATCTTTGAAAAAAAAAAACTTCTAGCCGGGCGGTGGTGGTGCACGCCTTTAATCCCAGCAGTCGGGAGGCAGAGACAGGCGGATCTCTGTGAGTTCGAGGCCAGCCTGGTCTACAAGAGCTAGTTCCAGGACAGGAACCAAAAGCTACGGAGAAACCCTGTCTCGAAAAAAAAAAAAATTCTAGAAATACAAGATCATGGTAGTAGAAATACAAAACTCAGTGGCTAACTAGAAATGAAACAATTTATCATATGATGCAGGATCTCACTAGCCCACTATCATAGCCTCACATATCCAAAAGAGACGAAAGATCGGCCGGGCGATGCGGAACTCTATGAGTTCAAGGTCAGCTTGGTCTACAAAGAGAGTTCCAGGACAGCCAGGACTGTCACACAGAGAAACTGTGTTTTGGGGGAAAAAAAGAAGGAAGGAAGACAGACAGAAAGAAAAAGGAATCAGGCATGCCACAGGGCATTATTTACATGTAAAAGTTTGCCTAGTCAGGGTGGCACATGCCTTTAATCCCAGCATTTGGGAGGCAGAGACAGGCGGATCTCTGTGAGTTTAAGGACAGTCTGGACTACATAGCAAGTTCTGAGCCTACCGGAGCTACTATGAGACCCTGCCTCAGGGAAGAGGAGAAAGCTGTTTTATATGTTAGTCTCACAGAATAAAGGATAGAGTAGCAGTTACCAGAGGAGGGAGGAGGCGTGTGAGGATGAGAAAAGATGCTTAGTGGGTACCGGGGTACAGC